GCGGATGGTGAATGAACACTAATTTGAAATTAAATGCAAACAAGAAAGCAGAGTGAAAAAAAAAAATTTTGTAATTAACGCCATTCTAATAGGATATATCTGTAGAGCCAAAAAATAAATCAAGTATATACAAACAAACGAACGTACGAACGAACGAACGAACCTAGAGACAAACAAAAACAGACAGACAGACAAAGAAACAGACACAGACCGACCTTCCCATATAAATAACAGCACCAGTGGCGTCATCATGACATCTTATATCTTAATCCTCCCTGATCTCGATGACAGCCGAAAAATGAAATTTGCATATTCATGAGCCGCAATGACGTCATCAATAAATTATTTAGCGCCTATCATTTTACTCGCCGTATTACCATCAATAACCACCGCTTTTTTAACCACTTGTTTACGCCAACAATTTCCTAATCCGTGAAAAAAATTAACTGATCAAAATGGATGAAATTAGAAAATAAAATAAAATGAATTTTTTTCTATATAAAGAAAATGAAGATGCAGATAGAAACATTTTGAGTGGAAAAATTAATGATAGCACGCGAAGATCATATGGAAAAAAAAAGTAATCCAATTAATGGCAACGGCACGCACCATTCATTCATTCATATCTCAATATTCATCCAAATTCAAAAACAAATATTTTTGGTTTCTTCAATGAATTAGCTGGCATAGTCTTGGTATTTTTTGCCAAAGTACTCTTTTCTGTAGTAGTAGTAGTAGTAGCAGTACTTGTAGTAGTTATTGTAGTACTAGCAGCAGCAGCAGTAGTGGTGGTAGTCAGTTTGCCAAAGATGAAATTCGCATGCCTGTTAATATTTTTATTATTAACACCATCTCGACTGCAATTGGAAGAAAAAATTTGTAAATTTTTTTATAAAAACAAATAGGCCAGCCAATAAACAAACAACACATACAAAACAGAAAAACATACAGACAGATAAACAAACAACACATACAAACGCAGTTGTTTTCAAACAAATTTTTTCCATTGTACTTGGCGTTAAAAAATATATTACATTGTAATTTATTTAGTCCTTCGAAGATTTTTTGTTGATTTTACTGTTTTTTCTTTTATTTTTTTCTCTCTCTCTTTTTCTCTCTCTCTTTCTCTCTCTCTCTCTCTCTCTCTCTCTCTCTCTCTCTCTCTCTCTCTCTCTCTGTGTCTCTCTTTTTTAGTCTTCATGCGGTGCCATCACGTGCTAAGAATGAAGTTTCAGTACATTCTGATGACTATTTTTCCGGTTATTATTATTCTTTTATTCTATTTTTTATAATTTCTGTTATTTGCAAATTTATCACCAATTTATAGCAATAAATAAACAAATGAATAATTGATTAATTAAATAACTTTACGGCATAACCTGCTTACTATAACTAGTCACAATAAACCAAACAAATATAGCACATAACTCATACCTAAGCTTCTCCGATATGTGGGCCTAAATCCTATCTCTTTCTTTCCCTCTTCTTCTCTCTTTCTTTCTCTCTCTCTCTCTCT